GGGTCTATGCTATGTGTCGTGCGCTTGCCTACATGACTTCCCACATGCTCTCCCTACAGAAGGGAACAATGTGGTCAGGGTCAAGAATTCTTAGTTGGTCCTTGTTGTTCCTGTACCTCCCATAACCCACTCCCTGGTTGATTGTCTTGCTAATGGCATTAGCCAAGACTACCTGGCATCACCAGGTTTGCTTGTAGTTAATGTAAACTTGTTATAGGAACTTGCGGTCATCTGACTAGATACTGGTGTATTACTCCTCCTATTGTGGTCTGCCTTATAAATGCTTGTAAGATGTAGAATAAAATCGGTACTGTTGGACATCATCCTCAGTGCTCCTCCTGCCCACATCTCTTTGTCTCTTAATTTCTTTTCACCATCCTTTTACCCTCACGTTCCTGGTCGATTTGTCGTGCCGGCCGCGACAAGAAATGATGAAGCAACGGCAGGAAACATTATTTTTTTTCCTTATCAACCTTGATGTAAGAGAATATTTCAAATGCTTTCTCACCCTTAAGTATCTTCATGCTTGGAAATAGCAGAATTTGTGTTTAAAGGTATGCTTTAGGATATCTGGACTTTGTTTTTATTTTTATTCAGGTGATGGATAAAAAGTAATTTAGTGTTCTGAGATTTACCACCTTGGGTTTTCGTCAGGCAAATAGTGTCTTCTGTAGGAATACAAGCTACTGATAAGATAATAAAAAGATGCATATATTTTATTGATGAATGATGTGTGTATGGCTTTTGGTGTTTCAAAAATATATGTATTAATATCCATGGTCTTTCTTCCCATTATAATTTACAATGTGGATAATTTGTTAGGATTTTGTATTATTCCTGAAAGATAATAGTGACAAAAATCTTATCAGATTTTTATTGGTAGAAATTGAATATTCAGGGGCACATGTGTGGCTCAGCTGGTTAAGCCTCTGCCTTCAGCTCAGGTCATGATCCCAGGGTCCTGGGATGGAGCCCACATCAGCTCCCTACTCAGCCCGGAGCCTGCTTCCCCCTCTCCCTCTGCCTGCTGCTCCCCCCCAACCCTTGAGTGCTCTTTCTCTGTCAAACAAACAAACCAAATATTCAAACATAGCTCTTTTTTTTTTTTTAAGATTTTATTTATTTGACAGAGATTACAAGTAGGCAGAGAGGCAGGCAGAGGGGTGGGGGTAAGCAGGTTCCCCGCTGAGCAGAGAGCCCGATTTGGGGCTCTACTCCAGGACCCTGGGATCATGACCTGAGCTGAAGGCAGAGGCTTTAACCCACTGAGCCACCCAGGTGGCCCCAAACATAGCTCTTTTTGATGAAATAAGTACTGTGTTATTTTTAAGTAAAATTTTCAGTTCATTTCACTGATGCGCATTACACTCTTAAATGCCTTATTTATTTATTTATTTATTTATTTAAGAGATTTTATTTATTTACTTGACAGAGACAGCCAGAGAGGGAACACAAGCAGGGGGATTTGGGGAGGGAGAAGCAGGCTCCCTGCTGAGCAGGGAGCCCAATGCTGGGACTCCATCCCCAGGACCATGGGATCATGACTTGAGCTGAAGGCAGCCGCTTAACAACTGAGCCACCCAGGAGCCCCATAATGTTCCAAAGTTTCCTTTTATTTAGGTCAAAATCCAAACTAGGGGTTTCGTTTATTCATTTTAGGAACATTTTTCAATCTCTTACTGAAGAAGAACATTGTACTTATTTATTCTTATTAAAAGTTTGCTAAGGATTGGCAGAATTTTCCCCTGTATTATCAATGAGATGGGCATAAGAACAAAAGCAAGTTTTCAAGTTTCTCTTTAACCTGGTTTATCTCTTTATCTTTTTGTTTCTATTCATTTACTCATGCATTGCCTCTTAGATATTTATCTAACTTGACTATCTTTTAGGTACCAGAGACCACTTCAGTGTTACTTCTTTCTTAACTGTTCTTATTTTTTCTGTACATAATGGCTTCTGCCTTTGAGTCCCAGTTGTAGTTATAGATGGTAGTATGTACTGAACATTAATCCACCTAGGTAAATGTTATTTGTCCTGACCAAAGAAGGCTGAAAATTATTTGAATAATTATTTTCTCAGTGCTCTCAAGAATATATAATTACTACTATTCTGGTTACCTAAGAGAAATGTTATTTCATTACATACAAAAAATGCCTTAGGTAGTGGTTCTCAAAGTATACTCCCAGACCCTCACCTCTTCAGAGGTTCAGAAGGTCAGAAATTATTTTCTTAACAGTTCTAAGAAAGTATCTGCCTTTTTGTTCCCATTCTTTAACAAGTCTTTAGTGTTTTCCAGAGGCTGCATGGTGTATAATACTAAAGTAGACTGACCACAGAAGCAGATATGAGGATTTATTCTCTTCTGTTCAACACATTAAAGATATTTGCAAGGAGCTACAGCAGTGCTATTCTTGCTAATTTTTTGTTGTTTTGGAAAAGATATATTTTATAAAATACATTATTTATGCTAACATGCAATGAATTGTTCTGTAATTAATAAATGGGGCAGTCCTCAATTTGCACATTTCTATGTACTGTTTCAGTTACTACAATTTATTTACTACCAGCCTATATCAACACAGTTCGAGTTTGACTACCATGGTTCTTTAACTGTGAGTAATTGCTTAAGATGAGATTTTGTTGTTGGCACCATAGTCTACAACTCAGTGTTAATAACATACGCACACCACAATCAGTGACCACTCATATCACTTGTTTCTAAGTCACCCTAGCACTGGTCACTCTGCATGTGTTATTAGTTCATGCACAGAAATCAAAACCTGTAGTTGTAGAGCTTCCTTGTGTCTTGGTGATAAACCCACATGATGTTTTACAAAATAAGGGTAATTAAAAGAGTGAATTGACCAACAGAGATGAAAATGTGTTGAAGAAACGGAAGTGCGGACACTGGAAGTGAAATTTGAATTGAACTTAAGTTCAATTAACTATTAAGAAATAGTTAATCAGGGGCACCTGGGTGGCTCAGTGGGTTGAGCTGCTGCCTTCAGCTCAGGTCATGATCTCGGGGTCCTGGGATCGAGTCCCGCATCGGGCTCTGTGCTCAGCAGGGAGCCTGCTTCCCTCTCTCTCTCTGCCTGCCTCTCTGTCTACTTGTGATCTCTCTGTCAAATAAATAAATAAAATCTTAAAAAAAAAAAAAAAGAAATAGTTAATCACAAGGGTGTCTTGAGTGGCACAGTTGGTTAAATGTTTGACTCAGATTGTGAACTCAGGGTCCTGAGATTGAGCCCAACATAGTCTGCTTCAGAGTCTCCCTCTTCCTCTACCCCTCCCGCTTTTGCTCTCTTTCTCTTTCAATTTCTCTAACATAAATAAGTAAATCTTAAAAAAGAAAGAAAGAAATAATTAGTTTATCATGGGAATATTGACATTTCTGCTATTCAAGGGAATTTAGGTATGCAGCTAGAAGAACTTAGTGAAGTTAAATGTCATAACCACAGATTGGTTATGACAAAAAGGAGGTCCCAGCAAAGTGGTACTGGCAGCCACTTCACATTATAAGGCCTCCCCAAGATTTTCACAATTGAAAATGCAAAAGGATAAAATGTTGGAAACTGGTCCACACTTAGAAAGGAATAATTTGCCAAGGCATAGAAAATACACTCACTCCATATTTTTAAGTTATCCAGTAAGAATGCAAACTACTGTTGGTAATTTTTTTTTTTACAAAGAAAACTCCTTAAATTCTCAATATTTCTAATGTTTTAAATTATAGTATATAATATAAATGTTTTACTACTTTTTTTCATTTCCTTACACATTATAACTGGAGACAAAGAGAATTTTTAGTGTAGCGTTTTTAGATGTAATCATATAAAAAAATCTCTTTATATTACCCTTTATATTTATCTCCTCTATTTTCTGTCCTGATTGAATAGTATAACCAACAAGACTAAAACCTAAGAAGTAGTTTGTATTCATCTCCCTCAGAGTTTACATTTCTAATTGCTTAAAAATGTCATAGTTTGCCCTATTTCTTCCTTCCTCACTGATTGTCCTTACTTAGGCACTCATTTTTCACCCTTCGTAGGGTATGACTATAAAGGCATGGCACTAGGCAATTGCTTAAGATGACAGAACTGTTCTATATCCCAGCTTTGATGCTGGTGACATGAATGTCGTTACATGTAAATAATCATAAACTTTTTCTTTTGTCTTTCCATGGTATTTGCATGTAAATATTTCTTTCCTATTCTTTCATAATAGGGCTTACAAATAAATCAAGTAGTTACTGACAAGGGGTCCTCTCTGCTGAAGCTGAGGAAATTTTAAATGTGCAGAAGATATGCTTCCGCACATTTATACATGTGGCCCTGAAGGAATTTATATTCTAGTAAGATATATACTACAGATAACAACGGTAAGATAAACTGTAATTGTCTCCTACAAAGCCCTACAAACAAAATGTTTGTGCTAGGAATGTACAGGAGATAATTCTTCATTGAAGAGGTGGCGTTTGAGCTGAGTCTTGAAAAACACATTGATTATGACAGTCAAAAACAGAGACAAGGGACATTCTGATAAGAAGGAAAAATATAGCAAATATAGATTTGTAATTTTTCCTTTTTATGAAGCTCAGAAAAACTTTGGATCTACACCTCATGCATACTTGCATCCTGTTTCATTCAATTTTGTGCTCTAAAACTCTTAAAAGCATTTGGGTCTGACACTTAAATTTCTTGTAAGCTATAGGGTAGCTTTTGAGTTTTTGGATTTAATAATTTGGGTCATTTTCAAATTCTGATTTTAATGACTGTGAAGACCATGAGCTATTCCTAAGTCTTATTGTGTTCAATAGATAGGAAGTATGTAACTGAAAGACTGGTATCTATGTAAAATTTTCTATTCATAGAGAAAATTTGAATAAGTAGAGTTTTCAGTATACATAATACTTGTGAAGTATCTTTATAATACTTCCCCAAATTGTTTTCTTTCCATTTTTCCTACTTAGGTGAATGAATCAACTCTTTCTTTCACAGGTTTTCTGTGAAGACCCTGATTGATCGGTCCTGCTTTGAGACAATTGATGATTCTTCTCCAGAATTTAACAATTTTGCAGCTATTTTGGAACAGATTCTAAGTCACCGGCTAAAAGGTAACAGAATCAATGTATTTTTAGTCTCACAACAACTTTCTTTTTTATAAGCTTGAAATTTTAGAATCCATCCAGTCTGGTATGATTTAGATAATAGCCATATTGCATCTTGAGAAACATAAAACTGATTTTAGAATGCCTAGTCTTTTGACCTATCCTTTGTTCCTGGAAATGAATTTCTGTTCTCCAATTTATGCCTGTTTCCAGGGTGCATTAAAAGTGTTGAATGCATTAAGTGTCACATACATGGAGCAGAGTCACTTTCTGTAAGTAACTAAAATGGAAGCTTAAATTAAAAAGTAGCCCATCTTTGAAGGTTACTAGATGGTATTTTAACCAACTTACAAAGAAGCATCCAGGCATTAAGTTTTTTGCTTAATCTCCACTTCATTAAACTTCAGAATCTTTGAAAAACTTTTCACCATAAATAGTTAAAAGAGGTATGTAAAAAATGTGCTCAATTATGGTTTTAAAATAAATCAGTAAATATATTTACATTAGAAAGATAAATCTCTTAAAACTTAAAAGGTAAGATGGGAGCTCTGGTCTCTCAGATTTATGAAATATGTTTACTTTAAAAATACCTGTAAAATACAGATGATAACACAAAGAAATATTATGCAACATAACACTTAGTAGTAATAAATAATAACTTTATTACATTAATTCCATTACCTTGGTCTTCCTAAAGGAAATTTGATCATCAGATATTTTCACTTAACTTTTTATTATCTTTACTATCCTAATGGTACAGTTTTAAATCAGTAGTCTGCTTTGGTAATATAACTTATTAGAATCTCAAATTTAAGATAAAGGATAATTCTTTTCTGTAGTTTATGATGCCGAAAGCCTCAAGCTTTACTCCTAAATGTTTATATCAGTTGAGCAGTCCTCTGGACCTATATCAAAGGGTTCAGTCAGCCCTTTGCTGGGAAAACAAAATCTGGATTCAGTCAGCCCTTTGCAATTTAAAATGAGGTCCATAAAATCACTGATGCTTTTCTGTTAAAAGTTTGTTATTTTTGCATTTAAAAAGTTACATTTTTATTTTTGCTGTCCTGTATTTCCTAAAATTTCTGCCATTAATGTTACCTTCTATAAGAAAATAAGTTTTTATAAAAGCAAAGGATAGGAGAGTATTTTGACATATTGTTTGGTTACTATATTGTGTGGTGTGATATTTAAAATTTTTACATATAAATTTATAAATAATACATGATTAAAAAAACACATGCAACACAGTAGACCTTGATGTACTTTAATGTTTATAAATATTTTATCATAATACTTCAGTCCCTTTGATTCAGTATACCATTTAGCATATGATTTCCTCACAAAATACATAAGCAGCTATCAGAAGAAAACAGGCCATGTTGAGATATCCATGCAAAGTGATTGGGCAGGCTAATGACCACATACATGGACCCCTCCTACACCCTAGCTTGCCATCTTCTGAATCCTGCCTCAGCAAAGTCTAGATGCTAGACCTTTGGAATTACTTAAGTGTCATTTCTGAGAAGCCAGTGAATTACCATGTTGAAAATAGAATCCCTGGTTGATTCATGGATAAGAATTCCACTAGTATGACTAAGACAGTAAGAATGATGAGACAGTGAAATTTATGTTACCTTTTTAAGCTTAGTAAAATTAATTATTTAAAATACATTTTTTAAAAAATTTCCTGTAGATTAAAATATGGTCACTGTGATTGGTATAGATATGAATCATGCAATGATCTTTAACTTTTGAGATGAAGTATTTTAAAGACTCAAGCTTCTACAGACTTCCATATGTTATTTTAGTATTCTAGCATATAACAAATTGCTTTTACATTTGGAGAAGTTATATAATTATTTTGATAGTACACCAAAATTTAGTATATAACTACTAATTTTTCCAAGGTTTGCCTTTATAGAAGTACAAATTTAAAATGTATAACTTTGTGGGTTTGTGAGATTTACTTTTCACCAGCTACTTTTTTTTTAAATAAAAGGACATTTAGTTTAGATATTAAATTTTTTGGAGAAAGATAAAATCCACCTCCAGGCACAAAATAAGCTGTATTGACACAGGTAAAGTAGAAAACTCGAAACAGTTACTTCTTTATTCATTTTAAAAGTCCCCTAATTTTTTGAAAGGAAGCTTTTAAAATGACATACATTATCCTGTTTGCAGTTATTGTTCAAAAAAGTGATAATCTTACTTTTTCTGGAATATAGCTGAGAACTAGGAACTAATCACAAAATATAGAATTCAAAGAGACCTCAGTTCAGATCTTACCTAATTTTTGGACTTTTTTTTTTTTTTTTTTTAAGTATCAACTTTCTCTCCACCCCATCTGCACCTGCTCTAATAGAAAGCAACTGCAGATGCTGGGTATATAAGTGGAATGTCTTGTCTAAGCAGATTGGGGAAATTGGGCATTTTACCTGCTCAGCAGCCATTGTACCCCACCCTACAACTCTATACCGCCACTTCAGGTAGCGCCATGAGTCACAGATTAAAAATTATTCTAGGCTCTGTCTTGAAGCAATCCACTCAACAATATTTGTGACTGGTGGACATATAATCTTGGTTTTAATACTTTTGATGTGTGGGAACTTAGAATAATAAGGCAGTTTATCACATTTTGGGGCAGTTTAGATTGATAGAAAAATCTTATGTAAATAAAGCCAACCTATCTGACTCTGCTTTGATCTATTTTCGGTCACAATTTTCCAGTTTTGAGCCTAATAAATATTAAAACCTTGCTATTATAGAATCCTTTCTCCTTAGTCCCCCTTTTTCTAGGTAATATATCTCTAGTTCCTTTAATGTTCTGGAACCACGACTCCCTTTTTCTTCTGGTTTATCAATGGTTTATTAGTATTGCTCTTAAAATCTGATACTAAAAGCTGAGTAAAGTGTTTCAGAGAGGTGAACTCTGTATTAGTTCAGAACTTAAGATTACACTGACTTTTTGATTCCCATATCACACTTTGGGTTTACATTGAAATTAAGACTGAGTCAAATCCCGTAGTTTTTTAAAAATTGAACTATTCCTTATCTAATGTTTTAGTTAGTACTCTAGTAAGCTGCCTGTGTACAAGTTTGATAGGGATAAATATAGTATTATTTCCTTTGTCATCTACTTTAGAGATGGAGGAGCTGGCTCTAAAAAAGAAATTTAGGAGAACTTCTAAAGATGAAGAGGAGATACTTTTCCCTATATCTCTCACTAAGTATATCTAAAACCCTGGACATTATTATATAAAACAAATAAAAGAGAACTCCAAAAGGTAGAGAGAAGGGAGACTTTCTAGGGACTGTATGACTTTGGGAATGACTTGATGGGTTCTTTGATTTTCTGCTTGCCTTGTATATCCAAGACTGAATAAGCCAGTAGACTATAAACAACAGCAGGTACAGAATGCAAGGCAAAGCACTTTTACTTTTAATTTTTTAAAAGATTTATTTATTTATTTTAGAGAGCACAAGCAGGAGGTACAGAGGGAGAGGGAGAGAGAATCTCAAGCAGACTCTATACACTGAGCATGGAGCCCGACATAGGGCTCAATCTCAAGATCCCAATATCACGACCTGAGCTGAAACCAAGAGTCAGATGCTTAACCCAGTCACCCAGGCAGCCCAAGGTGGATTACTTTTAGACATTTTCCTCCTCCAGCCAAATGACACAGGAAATGGGTAGTACCACTCCCACCCAGGCCAAAAAAAGCTAAATGGAGAACTTAGAACTTTCTGTCCTCATGAGATGTAACACTGTCCCACCACCACCATCAGTGTGGTATCAGAGAAGGCCAAGCAGAGAACTGGGACTTCTTCCCTTCTGGCTGGTTGTGAGCCTTCCCTTTCCATTTAACTTCCACCCCCACCATGTTAATAAAGAACCTGGACTTCCATTTCTACCCAGCAGTAATGAGGGGTCATCTCCCTGCCATCTTGAGGCTGATCAGAAACCTGTTGGAGACTTATGTCTTTCACCATCACCCAGCAGTAACAAGGCTACTCCCAGTTCATTGTCAATGGAGACCATGTAGAAAGCCTGGACTCCCACCTCTACCTAGCAGCAATGAGGACTCCCCACACTCAAATGTCAGTGGAGGCCAACTGGGAAAAGTGGACTTCTTCCTCCACTTGACAGTAATGAAGTGGTGCCCCTTTCCTCTTCCCTTGCACTGCTAGAACTATCATAGAGAGCCAGTGAAAAGAGAAGTTTTAAATAAGGTCCTGAGACTTACAAAATAAACATGTCCAGGTTTCATTTGAAGATGACTCATCATACCAAGAACTAGGAAGATCTCAAATTGAATGATAAAAGACAATCAATAGTTATCAACACTGAGATGACAGAGATACTAAGTACTAATGACAAAAATCATAAGTTTGGTCATGATAAAAATGCTTTAGTGAGCAGTTACAAACATTCTTGAGACAAATGAAAAAGTAGATAACTTCACCAAAGATATAGAAGATATAAGAAAGAACTAAATAGAAATTTTGTTACTGAGAAGTACAAAACCAAAATAAAAAACTCAATGGATAGGCTCAACAGGAAGATGGAGGGGACAGAGAAATCAGTGAACTAGAAGACAGAAACATATCTAAACAACAAAGACTAAAAATAATCCAAAATTTAAAAGTGGACTTAAAGAAAATAAATAGACCTGCAGGGACCTGTGGGACTATAACAAAAGATCTAACTCTTTTCATTCGAGTATCTCTAAGAAGAGAAAGAGGAAGGGACTGAAAATGAGCTAAAAATATATGACTGAAAATTTCCCAAATTTGTCAAGAGATGTAAACATATAGATTTGAAAAACTGAGTGAATCATAATACAAATCCAAAGAAATTCATGCCAAGACATATTATAATTAAACTTTTGAGAAATAAAGACAAAGAGAAAATGTTGAAAGTAGCAGGAGAAATACACTCTGTCTGTAAGGGGAAAACAATTTGAATGATAGCAGATCTCTCATCAGAAACCATGGAAGCACTTCTT